AATGATGAAAGAGAGAAGATGTTGATACATGAATGAACCCACTTTGTTGAATACTAAGATCAACAAACCAACTTTGCTGAATACTAAGATCAACAAACCAACTTTGTTGAATTATTATAGTCTTGAAAGACTTGTTAAATATAGAATACTTAGTTGTTAGAGTCTAAAAAGATTTGGTGAAATATATGATACTTGTATAAAGATTTGTTGAATACTTATAAGCTATTTGGAAAGTAGTGGAATCATTTTAGGAGAAGGGGTTAAATATAACTACTAAGAGTGAATCAATATAACAATCATCATGATATTATTTCTATCCCTAAACTCTTCACTACTTTCCGTTATTTTTCATCGTGCAAAATTGATCTTGATGTGAGTTAATAATTTTGAAACAATTGTTATTTGCCCTTTTTATTTAATCATATAATTGCTTGTGAATTTTTTTATTATAGTATATTTAATAGAAAACTTAACAAATAAAATTCAACCCCTTCTTATGTCTATTTGTTTCATATTTTGTATTAGACACACAATTCATAACATACTTAGAGGGACATGAATCCCTAGCTACCCTCTAGAGAGAGAAACTTGAATCAGTGAGTATCTTTTTTATTGAGACAAAACTTAGGTAAAGTATCATGGGTGCTAATGGTACATGTGACCTATTAGATGATGATACGTGAACCTTTTTGTTTATTTTTAAGCACTTACGATACTTTACCTAAGTTTTGTCCTTTTTATTACTAGTACTCTCAAGAAGGAGAAAATTTGACGATCCTTTCAAGTTTGCAACCTTATTCTTATTCGTGTGAATAACAATAGAGGCACAACTTCTCTTATTGCACTAGTGATTGACATTAAGATTTGATATTATTGTTGAGCTTGTAATTACCTTTCATGCTTAACATCTTTAGGATACTTCTCATCACCCCAAAAGGTAATAATGTGAAATTTAGGAAGGAATCCAAAAACTTATATTTCTTCTACTTATACAATGTGACACTTTCTAACATGATATTGGCTGAATTTAGTAGTTTCCTAATTATATTATGTTTCTGAAATAAGATCGTTGAAAGGTTCTCGAAGTTAGCATTGCTACTATCACGATTAACTTGCAAGGAGTAATCTTTGAATGGATTAAAAAATTAAAGACAATTGCCAAGACATAGTGGAGATTAACCATGTCACCAATGTTAATATGAGTAGACCCAAACATTAGGATTTGATGTTTTTGTGACTCATCAAAACTCTGATTAGGGTGTGTATTGATGCAAGATGGTAAGTTAGTATCTTACTCCTCGAGACAATGAAGAGCCCATGTAGAGATGACAATAGGGTGACACAGATACGAGTAGTGTTTATTTGTGTGCTATTTATGAGGATCCATTGAGTTTTTAAATTTGATTATATATCTATATATTTGTAATAATTAATATCTATAAAAGTTATTATTACATGAATGATTACATATATATAATTGTATATAATAAATTTATCACTATGCTTCAACCACTAAAATTCATTATAAAATAATAATAATGAAATTATATATAATGTCAAAGTAATAAAAATATAAAATATTTAATTAAAAAATAAATTTATGAATATACGAGTATACACGAAATAAATATCATAATATTCATTCTCACTTATAAGTTATGGTGCGCAGGTAGGGAAAAGTTACACATAATCCTATCCATCTATTTTAATTATGTCTAATGGTTGTCCCTCTTTATCTCAACCCACACTCTTCTCTTACTCTCATGTTAGATAATATGTATTTGGTATCAATATGTCCCAATCCTTTCTTCTACTTTATCTATGGATATATTTATTTATTGTTTTTATTATTCTTATGATATAAGAAGGTCCAAGTACTAAAATCACATGTGTAATTTCCAGGAAAATAAATATCAAAGGAAACCCATAAATTTATTACTATAAAAGAGAAAAATTTGTTATTTTGAGTGTGAAATGCTAGTGATCTTCAAAGAGAACCAAGATTCATCATTTTTTCAAAATACAACAGAGGCATTTTAATCCATGGAAATATTCCACCAAATTACTTTTTGATTTTCTTCTTCCAGAAAATTGATCCAATAAATTACTCTAAGTAAAAAAAAGAGAAATTTAGGGTTCATAGTTTCAGGTTATGCAAATGTTGATGACAAAATAAAACTCAATACAAAGCAAGAAGAGAGATGAGGGTAATAACTTGACTGGTTATGAATAAAACACGGTCAGTATATATAACTGGCAAGATATCAGTCCGGATGCACGGGGTGATATTTTTTTTCATGGTTAAGAATACACGTTTTATATGTACATTAATAAGGTTAGAAACACACATGTTACTTGTGTATTCGAATAATTAAAAACACATATGTTACTCGTGCATTCGTATTCTTAAGAAGACACATGTTATTTGTGTATTCGCATGATTAAAAACACATGTTACTCGTGCATTCGTATTGCTAATAACACATATGTGACTCGTATATTTAAATGGTTAAAAACAAACATGTTACCCGTGCATTTATATAGTTAAAACACATATGTTATTCGTACATCGACATTTTTAAAAAGACACATGTGTTATTCACATTAGTATAGTTAATGCACACATGTATTATATTTGCATTTATATAGTTAATACACATGTTACTTGTGTATTCACATGATTAAAAACAAATATGTTACTCATGCATTCGTAGTGTTAAGAGCACACGTGTGACTCGTACATTTTAATGGTTAAAAACAAACATGTTACCCGTAAATTTGCATGCAACATTATTTTTTTGGCGTATGATTAAGAACACACATTACATGTACATTCATATGGTTAAGAACACACATGTTATTCGTGTATTCGCATGATTAAAACGCAAATGTTACATGTGCATTCGTATTGTTAATAATACACATGTGACAAGTGCAATCGCATAGTTAAAAAACACATGTTACTCATATATTCATATTGTTAAGAACACATATGTTAATTGTACATTCATATAGTTAAAACACATATGTTATACGTACATTCGTATTGTTAAGAAAACGTGTTACCCGTATATTTTCCTGTTCAAACACAACGTAAACAAATGACAATTTCGAATTTGAAATAAATATTTTTAATAAAAATAGGAAACTGAAACATGACGCCATGCGATTTTTTTGAAAATAAATATTTTAAAAGTTGTAGAAAATGAAATGATTTTTTTCATTTTCGAATATGATATTTTTTTAATGAAAACGGGGAAATAAAATGGTTAGCCTTTTATATTAAAAATATTTAAAAGTTATAAAAAAATTCAATTTCGAATTTGATTTTTTTAATGAAAATAGAGAAAAATTAATATCCAAAGAATCTGATATGTGATATTAAAATTAAGTGGAAAAAGTATCACAAAACTTTGATGGATGAAAAGTACAGCGAATAATTTGTAATTGAAGAGTGTTGGTAATAATTGTAATATAACAAATGTTATGGTGTGGTGAAATGCATTTTGGAAGCTGTGAAGTTGTTTAAACGGGAAAACTTTGGATGTGGATGTGACATGTGGTACTTGCTAAGGTGTAAGGACATTTTTTCTTATATAGTAATAGATTAAAATAGATGGATACGAAGATGAATAACTTCTTTACTTATATGTATAAGGATGACAATGGATCTGGATGGGTCCGGATAGTGCATTACTCGAACCTACCTCATCGCTTCATTTTGTGACCCAGACCCGCCCGAGACCCGTGTTAATACCTACTGGTTATACTACCAGCAGGTCCCTTGGGTACCCAGCGGATTCATGGGTACCCATAAATTCAAAAATATTAAAAATAATTGCAATTAATTTATGCACTTGTGTATTAGTTTCATACGATCTTATATGTTATTCAGTCAATCAACAAGAGAAAAAATTATAAAACTTAATTTAAAGTTTTAAACATAACTTAATTTGATTATTAAACACAACTTATTTTACTCAAACAAACATTAAAAACAACTTCAACATTAGGATGAAAAATTCTTTTAGTAAGAACTCTTCAATTAACATAACATTACATCATATATATGAATTAACAACATAACAAAACAGTTTAACAACATAACTATCACATTTATGAAATAATATGATATTATAATTATGCATTAATATGATATTACAATATAGATTAACATGATATTAAAGTTATGTTGGTATATATATATATATATAATTAGGAAGAAATAGCAGGTCCGGGTACCTCATTACCCGGATTCAGACCCATCTAACAGCGGGTCTTAAAATCGCGGGTTTCAATTACCTACGCGTCCAAAACATGGATCCAAACCCGATCCGTTGCATGTATTATTAGCGGGTACCCGCGGATCTAGGTAGTCATAGCCATCCCTACATATGTATGTGTTTTTGTCATCAAAATTAATTTTTTAATACTATCAAGGGTATCCTCTCATCATTTTGTTAAGAAACTAATTCATTTTGAAATATGTGACTTTCTCCCCAACAAGTATCGCTCACAGGAATCGAATTAAATACTCTCCAGATGAGATTGTATTATTATTGGACATTTAAATGGGGCTCGACAGATTAATTATCACTGAACAAAATCATACATTTTCAATTCCGGGATGATAGTCTATAAAATATGATTTTTTTGCCTTTTAGTTGTTTTGGGTGTATGTTCAATCATCTTGAGTATAATAACAGATTTGGCAGATAATTTTTTTTGACAACTTTTCTTCCTCTTTGGGATAGTTCTAATCTTACTATCCTACACAAAACCCCTATGATCTCACAACCAGCAGCAAGATAAGAAAACAAGCATGCTCCCGACTCATCGAGAGCCCGAAAAGTGTGAGATTGAATGATTTTACGATGATGATAATCGCAATTTTGACTACATTTAAACATTTCAGAACATGTTTCACCACCAACACCAACCAGGAGAAAAGAAATAATGTAAAAAAATCCAAATCAAAGTTGCAATAACTTCAAAAGTATTCTGATTATTAATGAAAACCTCTTCATGTACAAAAGATTGTGACCTACGTGAACGATTAAGGCAATTTATCGACTCCAACCCGAAACATAGACGGAAAGAAATCAATCTGCGATGTCCGGTTTCCACCAGATAACAAGAATATATGGAAGATTAAGGATTCAACTGTGAGAAAGCAATATTAAGTCATTTTCACTTAAGAATGAGATCGACCCGAAAAGCAAAAAAGGATCCTAGCATGAAACCAATCAAGTACATTGCTTTCACCATTTCTGTTATTGTTTTCTGCAGCCCTCTCTTTGTAGCAATATCGACAACATCGAAATTTGCAAGGGTGCTCAGTTTCACAACCTGCAGAACAGAAACAAAAGGAAAAATGGGGATAAAATACTTACTTCATAAACATCATCAAGGAAATGACAATAATGGATCTCCCTGCATAGTTTTAACCAGAGATGGCTACCAAATCAGATGCATGGACAGACTCAGCTTTAGTCTGTTGTATCGGTAGCCCGCAACAATGACACGAGATAATCTTTACTGGTGAGTCACGACCAGGTCGCTCTCTTTAAGACGTTTCGTGGTACTGCCTCAAGGTGCAAGCAGACTATCAACCACGCCGTCCCCAGGATAAAACAGCCCAGCTCTCTGTTATACGATTTCTTACTGCACTGTAAGAATCGTTCTCGAATACACCCAAAAATATGGCTTCCAGTGCCAATTCCAAATACCCACAATATTGGCTTCCCATGCCAATTCTATTCCAACAACTGACTACCAGTGTCAGTATTGGAATTTCCGATAATATTGGATTCATGTTCCACAACTCTAGTGCCACGGAAAGAAAGGGAGAGAAAGGAGGCCGGAATTGCGTCGGCAGAAGTTATGGAGGGAGAAAGAAAGAAGCTTGTATAAGCGTACAAGCTTCAGGTGCAAAAAATAATGAAGGAAGAGACCTCTATTTATAGAATGAGATTTTGTCACTACTCTTGCATCATCCAATGTGGGACTTGTGAGATTTTTTCAAAATCTTTCAACGTGGGACTTGTGAGATTTTTTCAAAATCTTTCAATGTGGGACTTGTGAGGTTTTTACAAAAACTTCTAATATGGGACTTGTGAGTTTTTCAATTTCACATCCTAAGGTCCACACTAATGGCATCAAACTACAAAAGTTCCAACAATCCCCCACTTGAAATTAAAAAACGATTTCCGGGAATTTCTGTGGTCTCATTAAGATTGTGCATAAACAAAGGTGTCTTTCGACTTGAACCTTTGCATAGTGAGTAAGATCCAGATTTTACTAGAGTGACTCGTAGTCTTGAACTCTATCTCCGGCATCAAACCACACACAACCTTTTCAAAGGTGTATTCAATAAAGCCCGTGCGTTAAAGGCCATGCACGTCTATCCCAGTTTAGTGAACGCTCTAGAAATTTATGCCTCTTAAATTTCATAGAAAGCGACCCCCACTTTCACATTCACATAGGTGAGTCTATCAAGAGTACTCCTGTAGTCTAGGTACTCCACTCCAATTGGAGTATAGATCTCATTAAGAGTTTAACTCATCCTTACATATACTGTAGGAATCATGCTTCTCAAAATTTCATAGCATGTCCATTCTCATATCACTTCACAACTTGTTATTACCCATTGAACCTATTTCTTGGGGTCTCCAGTCAGTTAGGTCGGATTACCATCGTGAGTGATCTTCGTTCTAAAGGCAATAGTCCCATAAACTTAGAGGTATTATGGACTTTCTCTCTAGCTAGTCCTTTCGTCAAAGGATCTGCTAAGTTATTTCCAGTGCGTACGTGATCCACTCTAACAGCTCCTGTAGAGAGAAACTCTCTAATGGTGTTGTGCTTATGACGTATTTGTCGTTTCTTACCGTTATAAAAACGGTTCTCAATCTTTGCAATAGCCGCGGTACTATCACAATGGATCAACACAGCTGGTATCGGTCTTTCCCACAGGGGAATCTCAGCTAGCAAGCTTCTAAGCCAGCTTGCTTCTTCACTAGCTGTTGCTAGTGCTATCATCTCAGCTTCCATAGTGGATTGAGCCAAAATAGTCTGTTTCTTTGATTTCCAAGAAACAACTCCACCAGCTATGCTAAATATATAGCCACTGGTTGCTTTGGAATCATCTGAAAGAGTGTTCCAATAGCATCGCTGTATCCTTCTAGGACAGCTGGAAACCTTTGGTAATGTAAACAAAGGTTTATAGTTTTCTTAAGGTATCTCATTACCCTTTCAATAGCATGCCAATGCTCCATACTAGGTCTACTGGTAAACCTGCACAATAGTCCAACAACATAGGCAATGTCGGGTCTAGTGCAATCAGTGGCATACCGAAGGCTGCCAATGATGCTAGCATATTCTGTTTGTCTTACACCTTCACCAGTGTTCTTAAAAAGTTTTACACTTGGGTCATATGGTGTGCTAGCAGGTTTACAGTCAAAGTATTTATATTTCTTTAGGATCTTTTCTATATAATGTGATTGATCCAGAGAAATTCCTTCATTTGACCTAGTAATCTTTATACCAAGGATTACATTTGCCTCTCCAAGGTTTTTCATATCAAAGTTGTTACACAACATTGATTTCACATTATTCACAACATGAATGTTGGAACCAAATATGAGTAGGTCGTCTACATAGAGACATATGATAGTGTAAATGTCATTTTCTGATTTGTAATAAATGCATTTATCACTTTCATTCACCTTAAACCCATTCGATATGATTAAGTTATCAAACTTTTCATGCCACTGTTTAGGTGCTTGTTTAAGACCATACAATGACTTGTCTAACTTGCAGACTTTATTTTCTTGCACATGGATTACAAAACCTTCAGGTTGTTCCATGTAGATTTTTTCTTCCAAATCACCGTTTAAAAAAAGCGGTTTTAACATCCATTTGATGTACTACTAAATCATGTATCGCAGCGAGCGATATTAGTACTCTAATGGATGTTATTCTAGTAACAGGTGAAAATGTATCGAAGAAATCTACATTCTCTCTTTGTCTGAAACATTTGGCTACAAGGCGAGCCTTGTATTTATCCACTGTGCCATCAGGTTTCAGTTTCTTTTTCAAAACCCACTTACAACCAATCGGTTTGCAATCAGGTGGCAAGTCAGTCAAATGCCAAGTCTTGTTAGACTCTAGAGAATCCATCTCATCATTTATGGCTTCTTGCCATAAATCAGCATCCAAGGAAGTCAAAGCTTCTTGGATAGTTGATGGATCATCTTCCAATGTATAGACCAGATAATCAGGTACATACTCTCTAGCAGTTCTTGTTCTCTTACTTCTTCTAGGTTCTACTTCTAACCCATCATCACTATCTCTAATCACAGGTGTGTGACTAGATGATGTGCCCCCACTATTCCTCAATTTAAAAGGGAATTTCTTTTCATCAAAGTCAGCATCATTAGACTCAATGATTACTTTAGCGTTAAGGTCATAAAACCTGTACGCTTTGCTGTTTATAGCATACCCAATGAATACACATTCATAGGCTCTACTAGCGAGTTTAACTCTCTTGGGGTCTGGTATCCGGACATAAGCCAGACAACCCCAAGTTCTGAAAATAAGACAAATTAGGTTGTCTATTCTTAAAGAGTTCATATGGGGAAACTTTGCTCTTAGTCTTGGGGACTCTATTTAGCACATAACACACCGTTAATAAGATTTCACCCCACCAAGAGGGTGCAGCACTAGAACTTAACATGACAGCTATTACTAATTCAGTTAATGTTCTATTCTTTCTTTCAGTTTTACCATTCATTTCAGGTGAATATAGTGCAGTTGTTTCATGAATAATGCCTTTTAATTTATAAAAATCATTAAACATGCTAGAATCATACTCAGTGCCTTTATCGCTCCTGAGTTTCTTTATTTTCTTATTCAATTGATTTTCAATTTCAGTTACATAGACTTTAAACATATCAAGTGCATCACTTTTATTTTTCATAAGATAAATATAAGTGAAATCAGAGCAGTCATCTATAAAAGTTATAAAATATCGTTTACCATTTCTGGTTAACGTTCCATCTAATTCACATATATCAGAATGTATCAAATCTAAAGGGTCAGATTCTCGCACTACTGATTTATGTGATTTTTTAGTTATTTTAGCTTGACTGCATAATTCACAATTTTCAAAATCATTTTTAGATAACTTGGGAATTAATCCTAAATTACTCAAATTTGTAATTGCACGTTTATTAATATGACAAAGTCTAGAATGCCAAATATTAAAAGCACACAACATATAAATGCAATTAGAAATTTTATTCATGGAAAATCAACATTTAATTTAAGCATATCATCAGTGGCGTCCCCATTCCCTACAAATAACCTATTCTTACTAAGACTATACAAATCTGCTACTATAGTCTAGGTGAAACCAGTTTAATTAAGAAGAATATCTGGAACTAAATTATTCCTCATCTTTGGAGTATGCATCACACCTTTGAGAATCAGAGTCCTCCCAGATGTAAACTTCAGCTCCACATCACCAGTTCCAGCAACAGTAGTGGTGTGAGAGTCTCCCAGCAGCACTTTCTTGTTATCAGCATTCGTGTATGTTTTGAACATAGCACGATCATAGCAGACATGGCGGGATGCACCAGTATCTACCCACCACTCATCACTTCCTCCAATCATTGTGACCTCAGTTAACCCGGCCACAAGTGGATCCTCAACCGTGTTAGCTTGTGGAGGATGATCCACTGGTTGGTTCCTGCACTTTCGTGCCATATGACCTGGCTTCCCACACTTGAAGCAGATAAATAGGTTGCAAGAGTCATTTTTAGCGGGTGGTTTAGCATATTGGACCTTTTTAGGGTTCCAATTCTTGTTGCGGCCGGTGATCTTAGCCTTATTCCCATTACGGTTCTGATTCTTAAAGTTGCTGCCCGAAGGCTTCAGAACTGCACCTGGGAATTTCTTTCTAGTGCTATTGCTTGATAAAGCCAACACTTCTTCATTCTGATCTTGCTTACGAGCCTCTTCCTCAATGCGAAGACGAGTGATCAGAGATTCCAAAGAAAATTCTTTGGTCTTATGTCTTAGGACGTTTTTAAAGTCCTTCCAGCTAGGTGGCAGTTTGTCAATAATGACAGCTACCTGAAATTGCTCATCTAAGGGCATACCCTCAGTGATGATCTCATGAGCAATTTTCTGAATCTCGTGGGACTGAGATTCTACTGATTTATCATCAGTCATCTGATACTTGAGGTAGCGGCTAACAGCATATTTCTTAGTCCCAGCTTCCTCAGTATCATATTTCTTTTTGAGTGCTTGCCAAACTAATTTGGCAGATTTATATGGGATGTAATAATCATATAGATCATCAGACAACCCACCAAGAATGAAATGCTTACATAAGTAGTCATTTTCATTCCACAGAGCAATATCAATAGCTAGTTTTTCATTTCCCTCTTTCTCAGCTTCTTCAGGGAC